GTGTATGTATATGTGTGTGTGTGTGTGTCTGAGGACTCTGTTGTCTCAATTAGAAACACACACTGTTGTGACTGGTGCACTCTGCACGTGAATCCCAGATCGAACGTGAGGAGAGAAACGTCTGATGGCGAAACAACACGTGTGACAAAGAAAACAGAGACAACACGAAACTGTGGAACATTCAGACGCAGCACAAAGTTCAAATCACAACTAATGAAGAAGAAGAGATTAAGAACAGAGCTCTTACCTTCTACCCGGAGCAGAAGTGGCTTCACGAAACTGCTGAAATAAAATGGAAACGCTCGATAAGGCACCCGAACGTCACTTGAGCGCGTCAAACAGTCCCAGGTCTCGGAGCGGAGGCGTCAGCGGAGCTATCGGCTAACGCGTGCGGACACAGGAGTGATCGGTGGCGCCTGAGCTCCGGTGGTTCGAGCTCCTGTGGTCCGTTGAATCGTGTTCCTGTGGGCGGCTCGTTCGCGCCGTCACATGTGCAGCTCTGAAGCAGGAGGACCCGCGGCGCGCAGCAGACGATACACGTGCCGGCGGAAAGTACACGGCCGTGATTGGCTGCACTCGAGTTCGATCCCAGCTCACGGGCCCGGGGGCTTGGCCAATCGGAGGCGTCCGCGGCGCCGATTGGCTGGCGGCGCGCGCTGGTCCCGCCGCGTTTCGAGCGGCCGCACGTGCAGGTGGTGTGGCTGAGAAACGAGGAGACGAGCACGCGGCCGCTCCGAACTTAATACGCAAATGGATCTATTTTAACGGCGCTACTGTACTTTACTTAATCATCACTCTGAACTGCGTAATCACACGTTCCCGTGAAGATCCACTGCTTGTTGTTCATCCCTTTGGTTTTTGTTGATCGTCCCTCTGTCTGAAAACACTCCTGAGAAAGACACAGGATCATATCAGATCAGACTTCATGTGTAGACAAAAGAAAAAAGGCAATAGAATAAAAATAAGAATTAAAAAAATTTTAAAAAATGCTGAATATGTAGACAATATAAACCTTAGTGTTTTGTATAGAATCGTTATAACGTAAAGTGCAGGATGTTTGCATGAGCAAGTATAGAAAAGACGTATGTACTTAAAATACAAGGACACGTGCAAATGACACAAAATGTGCAAAACGTTACTCTATGTTAGAAATACAGTGTAAATTATGTAAAATATGAGCGGAGTCACATGAGGAAATAGAAACGTACAGCATACTGATATAACACGTGTATAAGCTCATTTATAAACAAATCAGTTCATCTGCACCATGATCTGCACTACCTTCCCATGGCTGTATGAGTCTCCTCAGGGGCCCCGGGGCAAAGATTTCCTATTGGGCCCCAGGTGACACCCCCTTAAATAGACACACAGATAATATGACTGTAAACAAGTGTGAAACTCAATAGTGTGCACGTGATTGCTTTTGCTGTTTTGTTTTCTGTCCACGGGCTCGGTGACGACGCAGGACAAGTCGTCTGATATGTGAATAAATAACATGTGCTGAATAAGAAGAGGGTGTGTCTGTGAATGCATGACATGGGGCCAAACATCTTGGGAGTGGAGGAGTCTGTTTCAATCTGTGCCACCACGAACAATAGCAGTGAATTACCACTGCTGTTGCAATTATCACAAAATAATTTCATTCAAGTTGGAGGAGCTCTAACAGGCAGGTTGAGTCTCTGGGCTCGATGGTTTAGTCTGTAAATCATCACTCGTGTCAGTCTGACCAGGTGTCTTCTGGTATGACGACAGGCTTAATGCAAGCTCCTGGAGTTTACATAAGGACATTTAGTTCCTGATTATTTTGTATTGCAATACAGACACTAAGTAAACAGCCTCAGCCAGTAACGTCAGCGGATTGAGAAACCATGTAAACATTAGCGTCCAACCGAGACCTCCCTTGGCAGAGCAGTGAGACGGCTCAGATATGAAGCCGACACGTGAACGAATAGATGGAGATACTCTGAATCACAGATAAATGTTAACACGTTGTGGGAATCATCCAAATATATCACAATTACAAGATTAATAACAGTTATGCAGCAGCGGCCGTGTTGTGAGCAAGCCTGTGGTGCAACACGTGACAGAATAGAAAGATATCTGAGCGGGGACATGTTTGCAATTTTGCACATCCTGTTGTTGATGTCTGTCGGTGACAAGGAAGGTGGCTGTGTGTGTGTGAATGTTGGAAAACAGCCAGTAAAAATATTTGCACATTTCACAATCGTGTCACTGCACACTAACACAAGTGCACAACCTGTTACACAAACTGCAACTGAATCACACTGCACCAGTAAAATGTGCTGCATTATCTCATACAAACCTACTGATAGTGATCAAAAACACCTGAGGACACTCGAACCCAGAGAAAACAGATGGGTCTTCAATTCATGTCTGAAATAATATAATATAAATAATAAAAGGTATTCAATTCAGTGCAATTTTAATTTGAAGGGGAAAACTTCACCCTCTGTTGTCTGAATCAATATCCACATTTTGAACTGTGTGATTATTTATTACTTATATTTCAAAGATATGTTTATATGCTTGGAAGTATATTCTTTACTTCTCTCTTGTATATATGCAGGTTGGTAAACAGGGCCCCTAGATGGAAAATAAAAAAAATGCAACATCATCCTTGTTACACAGCAGTTTTCCTTGGAACTGTTTGGTCTACCGGAGGCAGGCTTCAGAGAAACTTGATCGAATAAAATCCAGAACGAAATCTTAACACCAGCAGACATCTGACATATTCTGAATGTGAGTGAACCTTTGAAGGTGTCATAGACAGGAGTAAATCTCTGTCAGTATAAAGCACACAGTGACTAATCCATTGTCCTGCTCCCTCTTTGCTCACAAAGCACCCCGCTGACTGATGCCACAGGACCTGGATCAGCATGACCTGGTAACCTCTCAGACAAGTGGGCCTGCTGCACATGTTTACCTTTCCTTTTGTGAACAAGTGCACACATTACGAACCCATGCGGCAAAAGCTTGGTCTGACAGATGTGCTTGGCCGGGTTTGTGTGTCACATGTGGGGGGGGGGGGTTTGTGTGAAGTGGCACAAACCAGCAGAGGGCATTAACGCCCCACTGTGTAGTAAGGACACTGAATTGATTTTTCAGAGAACCAGATTCTTCAGAAACATCTCCAGCATCGTTTTTCTCCAGAAAATCATGTCACGCCAAACTACACGTCATAATATCTTATACATATCTGAGTTTACAGAACATACCGGTGGTTTAAAACAGAAGTTTCACCAACTTCAATGTTTTGGAAAACATTTATTAGCATTTTCATCAGCAAGATTATGTAGGAAGGTTCAAATCACAGACTAAGTGTTTGACAACCTGCTCATTACAACCAAGAACGAGTGCAAAGATTTTTTCACTCCCAACAAAAGAAATGGTCTTAAAATTTAAACTGGAAAACAACTCAGTTTGAACACATTTAAAACAAGTCTGTTTCACAGAGTGCGACGCCACAAGAGCCGTCATTTTCTGTATATTTAAGGTTCTGTCACATTTGCTTCTTCCACTTTGCTGTCTCCGTCTGGTCCATTGATAAAGTCCGGGTCCATCGCACTCCCATTCTTCTAGCAGCCAAGCCAGGGATCCTCTCTGTTTGTCCTGGAGATGAAGTTAATTTTCCTCGCCATTTCCGTGTGGTAGATTCGCCTACAGTTCTCAAAGTTCTTCCTCTGTCTCTCTCGGCAGGGCTTCTCGAAGTAGCGCTTGCGCTTGACAGTTTCGATAATCCCTTCCTGAGTGAGGACCCTGGAAAATGTAGAGATGGAAATGTGTGAATAGGTTGGACTTCTGTTGCATTTAAGACACCAGCTTCAACTGGGAGAAGCAACACAAGAGACCCCAACAGAGCAATTCCACCACATTTCTGGATTCTTCAACATTTCTGGTCGGGTAGATCAGAGAGATTTTCCTGCTTCGATTCACAGATTCATAATGGAGCTAACTATAGCTACCGATAGCCTGATTGAACTGAAATAAATTCAGATACTTTCTTTTTAGCAAGAAATAATTGCAATCAGAAATATAGAGCACTCAAAGTCAATTCATAAATTTAAAGTCTTCACAAAACCAATGACACACTTAGATCCTTTCACACTTTGATGATCAGGTTTATCAAGTATTTTTTAAGTTACATCTTAAGATTTACAACCTACAAACAACACATAACAAAAAAGAACGGAGAGATCACATTCACCTACCGATACTTTGCAATCCTATTCATGTCTTACTTTCATTTGACATGTTCATACTGCTCTGTCACATTTACACTCTGGTTTTAATGTCGTGTCTTGTTTTTCCATCTTTTTATGCATTACATCCTTTCAGTGTTTTACTGTAGGTGTTTTTAGGGCAGGAGCCATATTTAACTTACGTTTATTCTGCATTAATTCACCGGGTCTTACACAATATGTCCTCGTGTACTGTTTTTTGAGGTTTGTAACACAATGCACAGTTCTGCAGCTGCTGTACTCATGGGGACAATAAAGTATATTTGATTTGGTTGTAAGTTAACTGATGGGGTTTGAATAAAAAATACACATGATGCAGTACCTGTGCTGGATTCTGCTCTAACAATCATGGACTAGAAACCTTGTTGTGGAGAGAAATCCATATAAAACCAACAAACACGACTTTAAAATGTCTTCTGACCAAGAGACAAGCAAAACAACCCAATCAGACTGATCTGTGACAATAAAACAAGGTCCACTTCATCAGAAGGGGACATGATGGAGGTGATCACATTATAATAGATGATATATCACATTAATATTAAATCACTGTTTCCTGTTTAGGTTTTTTGGGGCCACAGCTGGTTTAACTCTTTCATAAGAACCATGAGGATTTCCAGAAACTGTGGTGAGATTGTTAAGCAGCTGCAGAAGTTCACACTTCTTTATTTCTTGTTATTTCTTCTGTTGGAGGTCGACATCTCCAAACATCCCACTGAGCGTCACTGCGCAGCCGCAGCTCGGTGACATTGAGCGGAAGGCTAACGCTATCGTAGCTAACATTAGCTCGTCTTTGCTAACACAATAATGAATCTTTGTCCAACATTTGATCTTAAACACGAGACTTTACTTGTTCAGAGTCTTGTAAGCTGCATCCACCTTCCCGTCCTGAACCATCACTGTGCGCGCGACGAAGCGAAGGTGCCTCGCCATGACGAGACCGGTGTTTGCTTTTAAAACGCCCGTCTGGAAACACACAACTATTAAAGGTTCCGGATGCAAGGCGCCCTGGTGCATAAGTGAACGCTAGGTGGCGCTTCACTCAAGCTTTCTGGTTTCCTCCGTCCTGGGCTTGGATTTGTTTATTCTGCCTTCATGTTACAAATATTTTTTCATTTGAGTCATTCATCTAAAGTTCAGAGATTTCATTTTAATCAAGTAAAAAATATTACATTTACCATCGGTTGCTCTTGTTTTTCTTGTCACTGAAGTTGGCTCTTTAAGAATCTGGTCGTGTGTTCGGGTCGTTATCTCGTTTCAAGATTAACTGAGTCCACACACACCTCCCTGCTGCTGATGGGAAAGAATGTAAAACTTTTATACAGTCTTGTATATGAGTGAGTGGAATAAATGTCACTTAGCACAGAGGACCATGAAGCAGCCGTCTACATGAAGAGAACCACAGGTTTATTCAACTACATCTGTTGTCAGAGCAACAGAACTGCAGTGTCCAGTGTTCTTCTTCTCCTCCTCATCCCCGAGCTTCTGTTGTCCTCTGTTGTTCTGAGATCAGTCAGCGGGCGGCCCAGGTTCGATTTATATTCAGCGCTTGGTATTTCACTGTTCTCAGTCTCTGTCCTCGGTGTAAATTCTGATTGTCAGCAAAACCAAGAAGTAAAATGGAGCCGTAAACAGGCATCTGGATTTTAATTATGAAAATGTTGTCCTCCTGTTCAGCCACTGCCCTTCTATTCCCCAAAAGACTGCTGTGTGTGATTTAACACAGTTAAACCACAAGTTGTCCTTCCTCTTCTGTCTCTTCACAACCATTTCTTCTCTGATATCTGAGTGCCATCACTTCCTTTATCTTCACATAGGTCTCACACTCTGGTGGGAAGCGGTTTCTCTGAGCGAGAGAGAGAGAGAGAGAGAGAGATCAGAAATAATCAAACAAATTGTTTCCTCCTGCAGCTTCAACAGTTTGTGTTTTCTCACTTTAAGAGCAAATGAATTAAAAGAAACATTCTCACCAACATTCTAAAGCAGATCTGATCACCGGTACAGAAACATTAATGTCAAAACAACCCCCATTCTAAAATATGTCATTTTATTTTGAACACAATTTTTCCTCCATAACTTCTGGTGACACCCAGCGAAAATATTGCGATCCCCAGATTTTATGAATCACTTCTCCAGAATGTAGGAGAACTACAGATCACATTTACTTGTATCACATAAAAATGATACTGGCATGAAAAAAAAACCTACTTTAATTGATAATAGATAAAAAGAAAACATGCGTAACGTTAATTGAATCTGGGGAAACCAACACACCTGCAGACAGAGACGCAGCAGGCCTCCATCGTCACCCTGCATCTCCACTGGCGTCAGGAACAGAGGCAGCGACCTCTCTGTGATTCTGTTTCCTACAGATATGAAGGAATGTCAAGAGTCCCAGGATTACTAACACTTCCCCATAGTTGAAGATAAAGTGAAGTAGCTAAGTAGAGAATAGCCCTTGTTTATAGACTCAGTTATCAGTTCATGTTGGTTTTGTTTGTAGTTTTAATTATAGCGTGCTTATTACATTACAATCTATGTCACCAAAACATTGCTCTGAAGAAAAACAGTCATTTTAATGTATGGCAGACGCAGTGTTAAATTCACTTCATACATAAGACCTATGAACATATTTAAGACTTACTAAAACATTTGAACGTACTTTTGAAGACCTCTTGGAAACAATGTTAAAAGTCCTTGTGAGGTTTCATTGTTAATCTTCTGCAGAGCCATGTGGGAAGTAGCTGCATGTGAACAACCAGCTTGTACGAAACCCTTTAACAGGTTAAAATGTAATTAACGTAATGTGATCTGTAAATAATGAATCTCCAAGACAGTCACACAGTCACACAGTCACACAGCACAGTCACTGACCGACCTGTCAGGTTGAGGGAGGCGAGAGTTGTGTTTCCAGGCAGAAAGAGCTGCCCGTCCCTGTGCTGCAGCGACTGATCCAGCAGGGGGTTCCCCATCTCCACCGACTCCACCTGCTGCTGGAGAAGAAGCAGAACAAACAAGAGCAAAACAGCAATCTGCTCAAATCTGAGTCATGATCAACAAAGACATTTTGGCCCAGAAGAAACAAACCTCATTCAGAGCTGTGCTTGATTGAACCTGCAGAAAGAAGTCACAGTTGTTGACTATATTGCGCATGTTTAGATCAATTTCTGACTTGACGCACAGATTCACAAAGCATGAGTCTGACACCTCCTGTGCAGTTGGTTGTTTGTCTTTGTCCCCGGGCTTCCCACCTTTATTCTGAGGTGCCTTCACGTCAGAGGCTGAGAGAGATTCAGAGAAACAGCCATGAAGCCATAATCACCCCTGGGGTGACAGAATAATAAAACAAGTGTTTCTCTGTAATGGAAATGGTTACCTCTCTTGTTCGACTTCTCTTTGTTGGAAGTGGGTTTCTCGTCCTTTTTGGGTGCCTCCTACAATTTAACAGATATTAAGAATCAAAGATTTACAGAAGTCTGCAAATCAAATACATTGAAATTACACCAATGTTGACATGTTACCTTTCTTTTAGACGTGCCTTTGTTGTCCCCTTTCAGTGAAGTGCTGCTGGGTACCAAGGGAAGTTGGTCAGCGGGCGTTTGGTCAGAACTGACCCTTAGAGATGACTGCAGATATAAAGCAACAAGAAGAATTACACAGCGTTTAAAAGGTTCATCAAAAAATAACAGTAACATATTTTCTCACTCACTCTTAGTGATACATGGCCAGTATTGCATTGTAACTAAGTACATTTACTCAAGTACTATACTTGTGGTTTTACCTCACATCTGTACTGGCATCATGTGACTTTCTACTTCTACTCTAGCAAAGTCATCACTCTGATCATTTCTCTTTGAAGACAAGACTTTGAGTTCTAAGTGTTTTTTTCAACAGGAACATTTCAAGTATTCAGAGATGATGTTTGATTTTAGGGTCGGTAGGTTATCAATGTTTGGCTCTACCACACTTACAGACCGAGATCTTTCCAGAAGCAGCTTCCTCCTCTCCACAACTTCACCATGAGTCAGAGCAAATTCACCAAGTACCTGAAAAGAGAAGTGGTGAGCAGTGGACGCTTATTAAATTACATGACAATGTTGCGATAAGCTAAATAATTTAAATCAACCTAACTACTGTTCTAAATGCATTATCTCTCGGGTTTCAAGACTTGAAGGTAAAAGGATACCGCAGCCAGATGAGCAGCTCCTGAGTCTCCAACCTGATTGTTGGACAGTGAGAGGAAGAGCAAAGCACGATTCAAGCGCAGGCCCTGAGAGGGACAATGAGACAAAGACAGAACCTCAGTGGCCATGAAGAGAACACGTGGAAGGAATATGGAGCCAGTTCTAGGTTATAATACCTGAGCGATATGAGCAGCACCTGCATCACCAATACAATTGAATGCCAGGTTGAGGGACAGCAGGTTCTTGTTCGAAGATATGGATGTTGAGAGCGCAGACCCGATCAGACGAGCAGTGTTGTCTCCTATCTGGTTGTTTCGCAGGGACAAGTGAGTGAGGCTGGACCAGAGAAACAAACGGGGGGGAATCAGGAGTGTTTGTGCTTCTGTTTGTGTGTGTTCGTGAATGCAAATCAAGTTCTGTGTTGCTATGTGAAGTGTGCGGCTGCTCGGTGACTCACACGCTGTCTTCAGAGAGAAGACAGTGGTAGCTGTGTTCAGGCAGAGCGTTACCTTCTAATGACACCACCCTAAAAACACAAGTACAATGACAACAACACTGTGATTCAGGGAGCAACAAAACAAGGACTCACATCGTGAATGACAACAGAGTCCACTCACCTGAGGTTGGAGCACAGTGATGTTGTGTTCATGAGGGAGGTTACCACGTGATCTGTCAGTCCCGCCTGCCGAAACCTGCGAGCACACAAACAAGAACACAGCAGTGAAAGCTGTAACCTTGTTCCATGAGACAAGAGGACACCTGTCTGCAGCAGCTCATTACTTACTGGAGGCTCTGGAGGCGGCTCAGGGAGGGAAGCATCTTCTGTAGCACTGTGGAAATCTGCTCATCTACCTTCCATCCTGTGCATATTAAGAAAATATCAAATCATATTATATCCGTCCATCCATCACCTCTATCGCCTGAGGGTGGAGAGGACGGGTCTGCCCTGGACAGGTCACTAGCATATTTAGAAACTTAAATGACACTTTTATAAAAATGCATACATCATGTGTCAAACCAAGCGTGAAATATGGTTATGAATATTTCTCCGCTGTGTTTGATTCTCACCTGAAACCCTCACGCTCTTGGCACTGAGGGGGTCGTCGTTTTCCAGCTCCACTTGAAGACATGGCTCAGACCAGTAAGATGTGTCCTTTATCTGGGAGTGGACGTACTCTGAAGGAAGAGTTATGTTGATTATAAGAGAATTACTGTACGTTCAGACTTTCTATATAATGATCTATACGGTACAATACATTAAAGTGTATTTCCAGTGTAATGAATGTTCCTGGTTCTTTAACGCCTTCTCATTCAAAGCTGTTCAGATCAGTAAGGAGCTGTTATTTACTTGCATCCGCTTCTTCGGTTTCAGCGGAGGAGGAGGCTGGTTGCTTGGAGCCGACAGCTGGGATACACTTCATGTCCAGAAGAGCACAAAGCCGAGGGAAGTCGATCTCCACGTTGCCTGTGCACTGATATTCATCTGTGGGACGATGGGTTTAAAGAATTAACAATACAACTCTCAGCGTCAGCAAAGGCAGACTGCTACCGTTACTTACCAAAGGTCTGAGCAGGTAATGTTTCATATGGACTCTGTCCTGAAAACAACAGAAAGACGAGAGTTTACACTTTATCCTGTTATTGACCACGTACATGTCACAGAAATGAAAATGAATGAGAACGGTATTTAATCCTGTGATAATGATAAAAGTTCACATCAGTGCACAAAGCATGTTCTACTATGATGTAGAGATCATGGAATAATGCTATTACAATTACTTTGTTGAGACTATTTAAACACATCTAATTATTTCCATAGGTGGTACGCAGGTCGGAGTATTTACTCAAGTACTGTTGCACTTACTGAACACAATCTTTCCTGAAAGCCATTCGTAACTTTATTAACAACAATCTGCCTTCTCCGGACTTGGGCTCTGAATTCTCCTCTTCATTTTGATTAATTCACTTTTAATCTAGTTCTGACCATTGTCATCATTTCAGAATGTTTTATTTAATTTAGTTGCTCCTCTTTTCTCATGTGTACAATTGTCCAACGTGTATTTGTGTTTTAAACGTCTCCTGTTTGTAAGAATGCTTTTAAAGGTGCTGTGCAAATAAAGTTTATGGATGTTACTATTATTATTGTTATAAAGTTTATCATCATCATTGTTTACTGTGTTTTTGATTTAGTTTTACCTGTCATCTGTTCCCATGCTTGTGTAGCTTTCATTTGCACTTATTTCTATTTGATGCTACTTTGCTCTCCACCTCCGCACTGACACACAGCTGGCTAGCCACCATGCTAGCTCCACGCTAACACACAGGCTACAGATAAAACCCTGTTTGTCGAACCTGTACTTTTCTCATCCTCGGGATTCGTCCTGTCCGTCTTGTCCTTCACTTGCTTCTTCCTGGACATGGTTTGGTCTCACGGTGAACCTGGGGATCGTGTGCTAAGTGTGCTAACAACACGAACCGCTGGGACGTCGCTATGGCAACCAACTACAAGTTCACGCGAGAGTTGAGGGGAAGCCGCGCCCCCTTCTCGTTGACAGGTTGAGTTTAACTAGTAGGTCACGTGGGTTCGTTAAGACTAACTAGAAAATATTTGAACCAACACGTGGTCTTAAAAAATCAGCTGCTCTTATAAATGTAAAGATGTTAGGAAGCTTATTATTATTTATTATTATTCTTCAGAATTATAATTTCTGAGAACTGTTGACTCATGTAAACGGGATCCTGAGCAAGCGCGTGTTTCTGGATCCTTGGATCATTCGGTCACAGACAGAAAGTTGACAGACAGTTGTAATTTTCCAAGCTGGGAGATGGTGGAGGGGGGGGCAGGTTCACTCAATCGTCACAGAGGAGATCAAGTTTTCATTTCACATAACGCGGCCCTGGACTTTCAGGAGACAGGACAGCAAACACCAGACACACATGTGAGATCAGAGAGTCTCTATCTGTCGTATTTCTTCACTTTTACAGAGGCTCTGTCAGAGACATGATCAATTTCTCACCAATGAATTGTGTCTAAAAGGGTTATTTTTTGAGATAATAAAGTACAAGGATTATAATCAAATTAAAATGTCCTCAGATTACTCTCAAACACAAACAAGCCAACACATAGGTTGGACATCTATCTGCGTTTCTGTAGTAGCTCTGCAGTAATGAAAGCACAACAACATCAAGTGTATTCACAATAATGTAGTGCTTTTTTATTAAAAAAACAAACAAACAAAAAACAAATATAAAACAAAAAGTAAAAACCAACAGCATTTTTCATGACTTAAGAATCATAATTACAAACTTTTAAACGAGTGGAAGAAGTATTTTTTTTTGACAAACTGTACACATCACAAAATGTCCGCCAGTCTGCCATTTACAATGCTTGCATCTTATTTTGTGATTGTCTAAAAAGAACCTAAACGAATCACACAAAACACACAAATACAAGTACAAGCATCATACAATGACTGCTATCACAAAACGGAACCATTTCCTATTTGAAAGAAAAAGAAAAAGAAAATAATAACATGATATCAGGCAGACAGCTTTACTTTTGTTTCTGTCACCGTTTAAAAATATCATAACATTTTTAAGTTGGTTTGTTTTTTTAGTGTTCAACACTTTGCAGCAAAAAAACAAGGAGTACATTTCTCCTTAAAAGTAAATATTATTAACAATATTCAGTGACAAGGTGTCTTGCTGAGTCACTGTCATGTCCCAATGCCTTCTGTCTCCGTTCCGACATTCCTCTCGTTCATGCAGTACATAGATGAATTTCATTTATAGGCAACGAAAACTCCACCTAAGTTTTTACGTCGTCAGGAAATTTACGGTGAGATTTTCTGGACATTAAAAAAATCATTTTCCTCCGAGCTTAAGTGTCTTCATTATAGTAATACAAACGGAAGAAATTATAATATTATCGTTATTATAATAATCATAATACATTTAGGGCTGAGTCCTGTACAGTACAATAATAAACAAAATCCATTTTCAAGATATTGCTTTTGGAGACACTCCTCAATGTAAAGTGTATATATTTACATAACTTGGCACTGTACAGCTTCCCGTTCCCTCTCGACCGCCTCTCCGTCAGTGTCTCATTCTCGTCACGTCTCTGTCAGTTTACCGCACGGGGACATTGCAGGCTTGTCCCTTTTTAGCAGAGGCATTTGGGGAAAAAAAAAGAAATCTCATCAAATATCACAATTTCCTTTTAAAACATTCTCCATGGCAACCAGGAACATAGTCTAAAGACAAGAAAAGATCCTAAGTCCCGTCCCCTCCCAATATACAGTATACACCGCCCCACCCGTCTCACAGAATATAAGAAAATATGACCATCACGATACATTTCATGTTAAGTATTGTTTTCCATAGTTTTCTTAAAACTGTTAATTGCCATCGAGCCCTTAATTTTTTTTTCTTTTTTTTTTAAAAAGGTATATTTTCAAGAAATCTGGCAGAGTACAGACACACAACAAAAGTGTGTACGCACGCACACACTCGCACGCAAGGCAGTCGGAGAGCACAGCTGTGTAAGGCGTTACTGTTAAAGCCAGTGTCCCCCCGCATGCCTGATTTAGTTAAGCTGGTGAATCATGTTACTTCAAAAAAGAGAGGGGCCGAGCTGACTGCCTCACAAGAAAATAAAAAAATTAAAACCTCAACAAGACACTTTGACTGACTAAAGCGCACACTCAATCTCCCCTCGCGTTAATAAACACGCCCCCCGGGCTCTTCTGTTCCTAAATGAGCAACTACAGTATAACAGGGAAAAGATAATAGACTTTTAACTCGCGTTTCTTTTTTTTCTGTTTTTCAGACTGCATCATCAAATACTGTGAGAGTGTTAGTGTGTTTTCATTATAGATACATTACACAGAGCTTCACAATATCCATGGTACCAAAAGTGCAGTTCACCACCCTTGTTCTCTTTCTCATGAGCAGCATCTGAGCCCACTGCTCAACATACATTTCTAAGAAGCCACACCCCCCCACTTCCCCTCCGGTCCCGGCGCTGATCTTCTCTCGCTTGTTTGCATTTAGTCATTGCAGCATTGAACCGATTCTCCAGCATTCACATCACCACTGAATGAAAGGACTGACCGTCCCTCCCTCTATCCGCCCCCCGAACTCCGTACCACTTGTTTCAATTCATCTGCCCATGTCTGTTATGTGTCAATGCATTTAAGTGCATGGGTTTTTCTCCTATGTTCATTCATTTGAAAAACAGTTTTTGCATCAAACTACTTAAATAAGCAAGAAGTCTGGGTCAGCTCTCTCTTCGTGCTCCTTGAGAACTTTTGAAAAGCTAAAATTGCCACAGAGTCAGCGCTTCCAAACCCCCTCCACGCTCTCAGATTTGAGATGACAGTTTTGGAAGAGGTAAACCGGAAGAGGCCCAGAGGGATGCATTGTGGTCCTTAATGGTCAGGCAGCCAGCAATGCTCACTTCCCCTCTTGCTTTCGCTCCATTTTCTGCACTTGCTCACAAGGTGAAAAGCAGTGTGCTTGACAGGCACGTGGCAACGTTATTTCCTCCCCACGAAATCACCGAAACCGAGCGTCCGTCGCCGTAGCCGCCGGCCTGCGCCCTCCTCCAAGAGATAACTGACATCTATGGCTGTTGGAAGAACAGACAGAGAAAGAGAGAGGGGATTAGGAGCGTGGACAGAAACAGCTGACACAGGGTGTGTATCAAACAAAGAAAAGGCGAAGGTGTCTTTTCTGTTATTCCCATTAAGCTTCAAGTGCTTAAAAGTCAGACAGAGTCAGCAACATCCAGTAAGCCTGGGAGACTGTTCCTCAAGTTTTAACTCAAACTCTGAAAATAGTTTTCCTATTGTCACACAATTAACACTCGACTTATGTTTGAGGCCATGATGTCATGATGCATCTATCACATTTCCCTAACCTGTGAGATGTTTTACTTGGTTCGATGTGCAGCCTCCACTGGTCTGTATGTTCAAAACACCTTTTACAGACTGTTGGCTTTGTAAACAAAAAGATTTTTCTCTTCTTACTTCTGCTTTGTCAACAAGTCGCGGACATCATCAAGCTGAAAACTGTTTGAACATCCACTATGTTTCTATGTAACATCAACTCATAGGAAATACAGCTTGTATTCAAAAACTACCAATACTGGTAAATACTTGGGTACTGTAATATTTGACAGCAGGGTTTTGCGATATTTTTCTGGTATATTTAGGATCTTTTTGGTAACAGTGTCAGCAAATGAAAACAACCGCCTGTAACATAGTGCAGGAGGAAAGGACTCGGACGAATCAGCAGACATCTGTTAGAGTGAAAACACATAAAAATGACTGAAAGCTAAATCTGAGCAGCAGATTTTGATTCCTTGTCATCCCACATTCCCTTTAATCGACAGTTTTTCTATACCAGCTGCCAACTTACACAGAAAATGGTGATGAAATGTATTATCCAACATGTTTAAAATGATAAATGATGTCACAGAGAATGATCTGAATATTCAACCCTCATTCATTCGTTGACCTACCCCCCTGCTTTGTTCCCGGTCCCTCACCATTCTTGCTGGGAGTTCTGTGCAGCAGATCCAACAGAATTTTGTTAAGTCGTTCCCTCTGGGCCTCCCTCCTGCCCAGCACTGGGTGGTGTAACGGCGAGGATGCTGAGGAGGACGGGAGTTCAAGCATCTCTCCGATCCTCTCGGCGGTACCCTCTTCCAGCTCCTTGCGCTCCTCAGCCTCCTGCCCTTCCTCTTCATCATCATCATCATCATCATCATCTTCCTCTCCCTCCCCTTCCTGCTCCGCTCTCCTGGGCTTCGCTGAAAGAACTTCGGGATCTTCTGGAGCCATCTCCATGTCGTCCTCCACTGCTCTCCCTTCTTCCGTCTCAGGTGGGAAGTCGTCACCCCGCTCGCATGAAGATCCATCGTCCTCGCAGCCTCCAGCTCCTTTCGGTCGTTCGCTCTTCCAGGCCGAGCGACCCCCGTTCCTCTTGTAGTTGTCAGGAACGTAATGAGGCTGCAGAAAAGTCAGAATTACACTCGGTTCGAATAATGTTTGTAAATACTTTTATGCAGCTGATTTAGATGTCAGATAGTGACGGTTTGTAAATAATGAATGAAATCAATGCAACACAGTAAAGAAACCAACAACGAGTTCTACAAAGTTACATTTTCCTGACACAGACCTAAACTTATTTGAATGCAGTGTAAAATAATTCCTGCAAGTCTTTTTTTCGTCTTTTAGATACAAATGACACTGGACACAATAACTAAAACAAATATACTGGATGTCGTCAACATACCAACAACAGTGACAAAATAACAGAACAGGTTTTTTGATGCAGTTCTCTAGAAGCTCTTGAGGTTTTCCTCCATTTTTTCTGGTTATCCCTACCTTCACCTGGTATTGTGTTGCAGGAAGTCTAAACAAGATGAGCAAGATGAGCTGCCCTGGCAAATGTGCCCAGGGCTGTAATATTACCTCCGCTCTTAAAATATCTTTCAGTG